GCCACGATTGCCTCTTTGATGATTGAGGCCTCTCTGCTCTCCCTCCGAAGCTGGCGCGCCATTCCGTGCTTATACCCGTTGTTCAACTTGACGAGCTCGTGTGACATGTTCGCCGCACTATGCAACACCAGCGAAGAAGATGCCTGCTCGGTCGCCTGCGTGCCCATCAGCTCCCTCGCGAACGCCGCCACCCACGGGATACTGGACCGCGCGAGCTGGTCTGCGTTGTACGCGACGACGTCGACGGCCAGGCGAAAAGCTGAGGCGCCGAAGTAGTGGTCACGCACGGTGATGGCCCCGTCCGAGGTTGAGGGCGGTGGACGGCCTCCTCGTGACTCGGGGGATGGGGGTGAAGGGGAGGACCAGGGTGCCAGATCCCAGAGCATTTGGAAGATGTTGAAGATGGAGGCGGGCTGGGAGTTGAGTTGGATCCAAAGGTTGGAAGCAGCGAGGGCGATGAGGGCAAGGACAAGTAAGGCGGCACCGAAGCGGGATATGAACGTGGCGAAGAGCCAGTGGATGAGGCCCCAGAGGCAGTCTGCAAGGAAGTTGAGAACTCCTCTCCCTCCCTTCACCTCACTGGTGTTGTCTTTGGCGGTGACCTTGCCGTCTTCGATACGCAGGGGGGCACTGCTGCTGGCGGCGACTTCGACTTTGCTGCTGGTATCGTAGTAATTGTTTGTGATACTTGTGTTGGTGTTGTTGTTGTTCACAGTGCTGTTCGTTTGTCTGTTGTACGTCTGGTGGCTGTTTGTCTGGGTGTTAGTGACGGCCGCGGTGGCGATTTCGGATTCGGATTCCGGTATGACCGCCAAGTGCCCGGCTCCTGCTCTCACCGCCAGCGAGGACTGGTGTTCGGCGGCGGCTGGCCTTTCGGAAGGTGGAGGGGTTGCTGTGAGTCCTTGCTGCGATGACGCTGGCCTACGGAGCGCTGCCAACTTGCGGCTCCTGCCGCCTAATCCGGGTGGCCGGGGCAGAGACGGGCGGGCGTCTTGGATCTCAAGTTCGCCGTGCGGGTGCCTAGTTTTTGCACCTGCTTGCGGGGGCGGCATTGCTGATAATCAAACTGGAAGAAAGATATTGGGACTGAAGAAAATGAAATAGGTCTTGGAGTCGTTGAAGCGGAATATCGAGACTGAGTGATACAGTGTATGAGACAAGTCTTGAAGTTGTTGAAGTCGAGTCCAGTTGATGCTGCGTGTTGCTCGTTTTTTTCCAATTTTTCCGTTCAGCCGTTCGGCGAACCAACCTGTATTTAAGTATGTTTGCCCAAAGAGTCATGACATGACATCAGAATTCCTGGGCCATCCCTCGTGAACCTCGACCATATTTGATAAGGCTAGCTGGTCTGTTCCTCATGTATCATAACAATATTTGACCTGGAAGAAATCCTACATTCGGAACAAGCCTTGTCGGTTTATCAGCAAAAGAATTCCACGGGCGCTGCGATGAGGCCGTAACGTAGACAAAGACATCGCCGCCGTTGCGACGTCTCGGACGCGGATCTCTTGACGTGACCAAAGAGTAAAAGGGTCCGGATATTACTGGCCCAGGCCTGGCCCAGGCCTGGATGTTTCTAGCCATTTCATTCGCGACTGAAGAAGACGATCGCGAGAATGAAAGTGGAAGCGGCGATGTCTATATATCGTGCCTATTCCACGGGGTGTTGGGCGAAATTGAGCAATAACAATCCAGAGCAGGTTTTCAACATGTCTCATCCGCGTTCAGACAAGGTTGGTGGTCTCAGAGATGAACCACATCACTCCTACCACTTCAAAGCAATCATGTGCTTTTATGCCGCCATCCTCACCATTATTCTTGTCTTCATTGCCGCCATTTACACCATCCTTACCGCATTGTGGGCACCATCGCCTCCTGCCACTCCCGACATCCCCATTACTTCGACCCCAGCAGCCACTACTGCACAACCTCCTCCGGCCCTGCGCTCCATCTGCCGCGCGCAACACGACCTCTCCACGCTCAACCACGCCTTCAACGGCATCTACCCTACGCTGACGAACTTTCTCGGCATCGAAACCCACAAGCCACCATTCCGCGAGTCGGCTGAGACAGACCCGACGCACATGTGGGCAGAGGAGCAGAGACAGGCGATCCTCGCCGGCTGGGTTTCCATCCAGGAACGGCTGGCGTCTCGGTCCGACAATCTGGGCATGTCGATGCCGCTCTTCGGTGCCGAGAATCCCGGCGGCAACGGCGACGAAGAGGAGAGAGAGGTGGATGAGATGACGAGGCGGGCTTCGTCTGTTGCGACGCGTATTTGGGTCACCCTACAGGATGATGGTGTCAGAGAGATGTACCTGCTCAATATCCTCCCGCAGATCGAACGTGCTGGTGTTGAGGCGGCGGAAAAGGTCTTGGCGGAATGGAAGAAGAAGAAGAAGGTTAGCAAGAAGGGGACGGCGGCAGATAAAGATATGCAGGACGAGGTGGAGAGGGGCAAAAGAAAGGCGATGGCCAAGTGGATGGAAATGATGTGTGTTTCGGCAGGTCTGTGGCCGTCTGGAACGAACAGTAAATATCAGCAGTGATCAGTAGTTGATTCTCTTTGTCGTTATGTCATTGCATTTAATAGACGTTGTTGACTTGTCAGAAGTGCAGGACCACAGTTCCATCCATCCAATTTCTCTTTGTTGCGCATGTAAGTCAGACCAGGTTGTCTTGCGCTCCAGGTTCCAGCTTCACCAACAAAGAGTGTCTTCCAACGTCTCACGAGTTGTCCCTGGAACTTTCTAAGAATATGACATCAAGATCTTGGAGATAAAATGGAACAAAATCCGATGCTGGCCACCCCCACTCCGCACCGCCCGCAGTCAAACCACGATCGTCAACGACTCGCAAACATCGGTCAGGCGCAACATGTCTTCATCTCCAAGCCCCGCGGCCGGCACCGCGGTCCAGGGCAACTTCTCCGGCACTCGCGTCGTGGACACCAAGGAGAGTAAGTCACACTCAACCCGCAGACATCGCGAGTATTTTCCATCCGCTCACATTGCACTCACAGGCTCCGTCACCGACCTCGCCGAGGAACACAAACGAAAGCTTAACGAGGCCGTCAGCAGCAGGACCGTCGATCACGCCTTCCGGGCCCGCCAGATACTTCGCTTCCTCAAAGACAAGCACTCCGGTCTCAAGGAGCACCGCCAGAACGCCAAGAATACGCTCGAGGGTCTAGACCCCGAACTCGACCGTACCAAGAAGCTGGCGGAGTCCACAGAGGCAACAGCAGGTGAAGAGAAGTGGATGCCGGGCTGGGAGAGCTCGCCGGGAGCTTTGACTGGATACATCAAGAGACACGTCAAGAAGTGGATCGAGAAGAAGATGGACGAGGTTGATAGTCCCAACACGTCAGAGGAGCAAGCTGTGGCTGCGGGCGAGGAGCCTGAGGAGACGGAGGCTGAGGCTGAGGCCGAGAGCGGCGGCATGCCCCTGGAGGAGGGTGGAAACACAACATCTCTTGATCTCGGACGCACTCTTGGCGAAGAATCACCAGTCGAAGACTCCCCTATCGCGGACATTGGGCAGGCCCTGAGCAAGGTCCGGCTCCGCGCCAACGTCCTGCTCAACAACAACAACGGTCGGCTCCGCGACAACGTCCTGCCCAGCAACAGCCAGCTAGCCAACAACTTCCAGCCCCGCAAAAGCGACGACAACGTCCTGCTCAATAACAACAACCAGCTCCGCGACGTCCTGCTCAGCAACAACAACAGGCCCAGCGACAACGTTCCGCCCAGCAACAATGTGCATCCTGTCAACAATGTCCAACTTGCCAACAACGCGCTTCCCAACAAGGACCCGCTTCCCAGCGTGTGGATGCCGGATGGCGTGGAGAGTGAACTTGAGCCCCTTTCGGACACTAACACGAGCGACGGGGCGATCCAAGACATTCCAGGCACGTATCCTGGTCAGGAAGCCGTCGTCGAGGAGCGGCTAGAGACGCCGATTGACATGGTTGCTCGGCCCGCTGGTAATACATCAGCCAGACACCCCGTGCCAGCGGCAACTGCCCAACTTGAGCTCAACCCTCGCGCGTTTCCCGACTACGTCTCGTTCGCCTTCAGTCGCGCCATGAGGAACAAAGACATGGATAGCGCGACAAGAGCACTGAACTCCGCACCCCCGGCCACGGGGATTGACCGAGACTGGTACGCGTGGTATCGCGCTTCCAAGGGAAAGGATGGAAATGGCAAAAGGTCTGCATAATGTATCAAGCGTAAGGTAGCGGCAGAGGCTCGACTAGAGGTGTCGGCTGTGCGACAAAACATCAAGTTCGTTTGGGAACCCGAGGGCGTCGATCTGTGATATCGTGATGATGTGTTTTCTTAGACTCGGACGACATTCGTGGCAACGGTTGATGTGGTTGGACGGGCGATACGTTCCTGCGTTCGTAAGGTTATGCATCTAGATATGACGCATGCTGTCGCATGCAAGAAGTGAATTGACCCACCCGTTTGCGTCTTAGATGCATAAACACACATCAACCCAACTCAGCTTGTGTAAGGCAGGTGCTGCAGATGAGGTATCCGTACCTGCCTTCCATCCAGGGCTGCGGTGCGGTGTCAGTACGTTACCTAGGAAGGCAGGTACGTACACACCTGCTTACCCGCGGCGTGCGTCTCGGCTGCCTACGAAATCCATCAGACTCGCGGGAAGTGAACTGCTTCTGACGCCTCCACTGTCGCCCTTGCCTTCCTTGCCTGACATCACCACCTCACGAGGAATGGGAACGATAGGTCCTGCGACTCGCGACTCCAGTGTCCATCCACTCGGCGACCCTACACATCTTCTTCAAACGTCGGAATCATCCTCCTTGTCGCACCCTCTCACCCTCTGCGGGACACCATGCTCGCTCGTCACCTATTCGGCCGACATTATCTCGTTACCTAGGTAGTGCCATCAGCCTGGTCTTTTTTCTAACCCGTCCCAACCCCTCTTTCACGACATTGAATCCACCAGTTTGGTGGTCTTTTTTGCAAGGTACGATGGCACCATCTGCTGCGGCCGACGCATCCTCCCTCCACGACATCGTTTGCCGTTTATCCCCTACCAGCAAACAACGACTCATTGCCTTCACACAGGAAGTCGCTCTACTGGAGATCGACGCAACAAAAATCTTCCAAACCCTAACGGCGCTCGAAAAAACGTTTTTGGAAACGGAAAAGATCGACCCCGTGGTATTTCGGAACTGCTACCTCCCAAAGTCGACGCGAGCGGCTTTGATCGCCCTGCTCCCAAGCCAACTCTTTCAGCTTCCCGACAAGACTAAGCCCAAAGTCGCAAACGCCTGCAAATTCTGGGGCGTGAGCCAGGAGAAGCTTTTATTTTGTCTCGGGTACGATTACTGTAAACACGGCCAGCGCTTTTTCGACAAGCTGGTAGGCCTTTCGAAAACGTGCCCAAACTGGAAACGCTCAGTCAAGCTGCTCAACCAGAGAGCTTCAGCCCGGCGACAAGCACGAGGCGCTTCTCGAGACACTCGAAACGTCACTTTTAAAGGCGTGGATGTGAACGCCATCGGAATCATTTTGAACGATATCAATGCGGTGATCGGCGATTTTACACCATCCCTCCAGAATTCTCCACAGAAGCTTCGAACACCGTCCCTTTCCCCGCCAGCTCACACGCCCTCTACATCTTCATCGCCGACCCCACGCCGCGAAGAGATACCCGACCAAAGCCTTGTGCAGTCTCCGGAAGTCGGGCGAAACAACCACGAGCATATACACGACGACGTTACCCTGCTGCAACCCGTCCCCGACATCCACGACGGCAGGTCGCCTAGCCCCAGCCTTCCCAGCATCGAAGACAACGAGCAACACGTACAACAAACAAACGGCTGGGATCCAACAAGCATCACAGAAACCCCCTTCGATCTCGAAAACGAGAGTGCCGAACCCGACATCAACGTCAACATCGACATCGACAACGGCAACGACGACGACGACGACGACGGCGGCGGCGGCGGCGGCGGCGACACATTCTTCCCAGCCTCTGAACAAGACGTGGGTTTTAGTAGGCTGGGACCAGCAAGGACGACTGCGCAGCTCGAGTTTCCCCTCCTCACAGCGAAAATGGCCGAGCCTGAGAGAAAACGACGGCGGCTGGACTTTGCCACCCAGAACGACCTCCTCGCCCTCAGAGATGACAACTGGTTGCACGGCGACTTTGTCAATATCCCCTTGCAGGAACTTTGCGGCATCCAAGACCCAAAGGTTTTTGTCATGACCTCCTACTATACCGCAATGCTTATCAACAAGCCATACCGTCCAACTGGCTGGATCGTCGAGGGCGTGGCGACATGCGAGCGAATTTTCATGGTCTGTAACTTTTCAAGGACCCACTGGGCGCTGCTTGTCATCCAGAAGCGCGGATTCCAAGCGGCGTCCGTCGATCTGTACGATTCTCTGCAATCGTACGCAGGCGCTCAAGAAGCTCAGGGTTTAGCGGACGCTTTTATCAGCGCATATCTGCCGCAAACTCCTTCCAGCAAACGCAAGTTAATCCTAGCAACATCGCCACAGCAACAAAATGGGTCCGACTGTGGCGTCTTCACGGTGGCATTTGGTCTGTTTGTCGCTTCCCGAAACCCGATCCCCGCCCGCCTGGACGGCAGAATTTGGCGTCGTGTCCTTGCGATGTTTCTTGGCTCCGCGGTCACGGACTAGGATTCTGTGATTCTACAACCTGCAGAAAATGCATCTCTGCCGGCAAACAATCCACAGCCGGCGGCAAATGCCGACCCATACGAGGCACACCGCGAGCAACAAAGGGTTTTGAAATCTCAAGTAAAGACCCAGTACAACGCTTTAGTCGGCATTCACAGTTCACTCGAATCGGCCATACGCCTGTTCGACGACGTTCTCCTGGTCTCCGACAAGATTATCACACAACTGCGTCAACAACTTGCTGAAAACGAGGCATAGGATGTTCTACGGGTGAACGCAGGCGGTGCTCGCCAAGTGTCAGCGCTTGATGCCCAGAAGTTGGAGAACGCGACCGACGCCAGGGCTCGCACGGTGGAAGTTCAGGATGTGCTTCGCGGACTGGGGGACCGTATCGACGGGTTGGTGAGTCGGCTTTGGACCCGTGCTGCAATTTTCGCAGATCCAGCATAAGCCAAGCCAAGCATTTCAATTTCCGAGCAAGGGAGCTGTTGTGTTGGGGATATCATTACGCAAAGGATTGTGTGCGAGGCGCTGTTTGTGCGCGCGGGTATGGGCGACAGCTGGACATGCAGAGGTCAGCTTGCAATGGTTATTGGGTGGTAATTGTTTGTTTATGGTTCTGGGGCGCTTTTTGGTCGGGCAGTAATTGTAGATATGTTTATGAGAGTCCAAGACCTCCGCGTCTTCGCGGCAATTTCCATCATCGCCAACCTCATTGAGCCGGCTACGGCAACCTTATTGAGCTGAGAACTTTGCTGGCCTAGCCGAAGTCCCGACGGTCAAGAAATTGATGCTTGACTCTGTTCATTGGTTGCTTGCATTCCTGCGAGGAAGCACTCAGCAAACGTGCCCTTTTCTTCCTGCAGGTTCAACTCCTCGCATCCACTTCAACCACGCATCTCCACCTTACAAATGCCGCCCTATCTTAGAGTAGCCCTGCGATACGAATTTCATGCTTGTTGATGTGCACGTCTCGATTTCCTTGGAAGTTATGCGAAGGTGGACGATGTTGATGTACAGCCGACCGGAGTTCGTGATGGAGCCCGGGCAGCTCAACACCTCATCGCATCAACGACCCGGCATGGGAGACTGCCAATTTTTCCTGTACAGAGCGACTAATTTTCCTGTGCCTAAACTTTTCTCTGCCGTCGTCGCCGCCGTCCATCGTCGTCGTCCTCATTCAAGTCGCCAAGTACACAGAAAATGCAGCCGCCCAGACGCGGGAAAATGAGGCGGTCTCGGGCATGGCACTGTCGCTGTACTTCCAGGGGGCTACGTGCTGATTTTCGCACTAACCCCACTGGACACCTCGCATGGATCTGGTCAGTGCACCTGCTGCCCACGCCACAGGAACACAAAATCTGGATGGAACCATGCTCCACTCGGGATGATCACGAAGTTCCCACTTCCACGCTGGCGGAGAAGTTCAAGCTGGGACTGTGATTGGCGACAAACGTCGAAGCTGGTGTCCGATGCGCCGCAGCCGCTGGTCTTGTCTCCGCGGGCTCGTGGGGATTCAATCAGGATGTGAATGCACTGCAAGGGGCTGTTGTTGCCCATCTGCCCCAAATTGACGTCTTCCGTCCAGTGTTCGTGACGCCCTCCAGCGCGCGCTGGCATCCGGGAATCAGCCGTTCAAGCAGGCGACGTTGCGTCACGACCGAGACCTGCGGACCTCACTGAAGAAGCGGCAGCTCTAGTACGTACCTGCTAACCACAGGGGCTGTGTAGCCACTGAACACAACAGTTCCTTCGTACGGACCGGAGTACGGACCATCTATCCAGAATTTGTGGAACTAAGAATCCGCCTCGAGCCACAAAAAGTCTGCCACCACGGAAAAAAAAAAAAAAAAAANAAAAAAAAAAAAAAAAAGAAATCGGCATCGAGCCACCAAGAAACAATCGGCGTGCTGGGATAATCCCTGTGCTGTAACTCACCTTACCCACCCCACTCCGGCACCATCATCTCCCACTCCGTGATGCACCATCGCCATTGAACATGTTCCGTGCAAACCAAAAGAAAAAACAACAAATGGGCATCAAGCCACTGGATGAGTTTCATGCGAATCGAAATCAGCCACGAAGCCGGTGAACCTGTGACGCACACTGTTCAGTCATTCGCACCCGTTCAATCGCGTGAGATGCAGCAAACGGACTCTGGCCATCCAGGTTCTCGTCACTCGTCCAGTGGCTGCATGTCGAAAAGTCGGCATGCAGCTACTGAACCGGATGCACCAAAACCACGAATTGGACTTGAAAATTGCTCTCTGTGCTTCGCGATAAACTGTGCTTCGCGATAAACAAACATGATCGTGCACTCAAGTGTTGACATTGCGACAGCTAGTCCCAGCTTGTGCTATCGGCCCGCCAAGGCGGATGTGGAGTTCAACCAAGCGGAGACAGACGACTTGAAAACATCGAGCTGCGCAATTAAAAGTCAAGGGCCCGTCAAGAACATCTTTTCAATTGACGCGAGCATGCTAAAGCCTGGAGACGTCGCCAGAAAACATAGCATTAGTACTTTGAAGGGAAGCCGGAAGCTCGGCTTTTACGTGGTGGTGCCGACTGCAAGCACTGCACGCCAGGCCCTGGAGCAGCAGGGCAGCAGATCGGACGATGTAAGGCCCACCGTCCAAGACGGGACGGTACAGATACAGATACGAGACACGAATACGGACAGTGCGTGAGAAACGTTGCTCCATCTGCTCCAGACCGAACCGTTCATCCACCCCGTGCGAAATTTCGCACGAGCCCCACAATTAGGATCCAGAGATCTGGCTTCATTGGCCCTGATAGCAAGGGACGTCCGACACGACGCTCCCATCAGGCAAGCGCGAATCAAGAGTCGCCGTCAGCTTCGCAACGGCGCGGCGCGTCATGTTGAGCAATCATCACAAAGAATTGAAGACTGAACTAAAATCATATCAATGCAAGAGTCTCTGTTTTTCAAAGATCTTTCGTAATAGAGATTTCCAAAGACGTAGCTCTCTTAAAGCCCATGTACGTCGTCGGAGGCCCTCGAATATTTCATTCCCGTGCGAAATTTCGCACAAGCCCCACAATTATGATCGAGAGGTCTGGAACGATTGGCCAAGTCGCCGGCGCGGATCTTGCCTGCTGAACGGGATTGGACATCAGGAAGGTAGACTGGCGATGTGCCTTCCCGTGTGCTAGATGGGCTTCAGGCAGCCAGCTAAGGTGTAGTCAGAGCTACCACCTTCCACCACATTCACCCCGCCTCGATCAAACAGAAGGGGTGCTTTTTCCTTCCCGCCCAAGAGCAGACAGACATTAGTGAAAAGGCAGCCGCTGCGCGCAGCTTTGCCTTGCCAGGCCCCAGTGTGCAGCCTGCGATCCCATCCGCATGGTTTCCCTCTCACTACGAAGTTTGACGACGTTGCTCTGTTTCTTCTTTTCGTACCTCTACAATCGCCGCTGCTCGACGCGCCGCCCGTCGCGTGCATGAACGCGCGTGTTCTCCATGATACCGCAACCAGGAGCAGCCATTTCTCTCCAGGACGACGTCCAACACTTCGTCACCGACACCCTCGCAAGGTGTAGAGAGATCGTCGCGCACGGCAACGCTATCTTCGATAATCTTTTGCGCTTGGAGGACAGGCTCCCGCCTGGCGTCGACAGCTTCGAATTCCGCCGCCAGCTGCCTCCTCACGCCCAGGCAGCGGTGATTCAGGTCTTCAACAGGGCCATCCAGCCACACCAAAGATCGGCACCAAAGATTCGCAAAGCCTGCGAGAAGTGGAACGTCGAAAAAGGAGTCCTCTTCTTCTACCTCGGTCACACCAACAGCATCGCATTTTGGTCCGCTATCAAGAACCTGTCCGACGCTTGCTCGTCTTGGCCCGAGGCCCTCAACAATCTCCACCACGCTGCCCGTACGCGCAGAAGCGGCCTGCTGCACGGGCACCCGGGCGTGAACTACGACACTCCAGGCTTTCTGGTTTTCGACGTCGTTCAGACTTGTCGATTGATGGGAGGCCTGGTTTCAACCGAACGTCAGACGCTAAATCGGCAAGCACTCCCCAGCCTACTTCCACCGGCGAGTAGCGACAAATCTTCCCAGACAACTGAGACCGAATTTGTGTCCGCCTCCTCAACTTTTCGAGCCTCCCCTGGCATCACCAGAGCAGTTGCCAGTCAAGAGCAGCCCAGTAGCAGCATTGGTACCGGCGGCAAGGCAGATTCGGAAGCACACGGCGAGCAGGCAGAGATCGACTCCCGTCGCCCGGTTGGTGCTAGAACGGATAGCGTTGACAGTAGTGCTACCCCAAGCACCGAGCTGACGGTTTCCACCCGGAGCCAGCCAACCACTGCCATACCCACCTTGGCTAGCGACCCGAACTCACAAACAAACACGACTACTACTGCCAATCCCACATCTCTCGTCGACCTGAACTCGGAACCAAATACAACTGTCACTGTCAATCCCATTTCTGCCGCCAACCCGACCGCGGAAACAGACACTACCGCCATTTCGAACATGTCCTTGGACAACAACCAGAAAAAGAGGCCTGTGGAAGGTGCGTGTGCGGAAAATCCCTCTTCCTTCAAAAATATGAGCGTGCTGACACTGCTAGGTACTTCAAATGAGGAAAAAAGTCCGAAAAAGTCCAAGACCACCCCGGCCACCGGCCACGACAGCACCGCCTCCGTTACCGATGCCGGGGCACACATTTCGCCCGACAAGTTGAAGACATCTCTGGAAAAAATTGCGATCGTCCTTGAGGATGCTATGGTAGTCGACCCGCAGCTCCTCGACGAGATTGCCGCTGGTGGGCACGACGCGCCTCAAGACGTCAAGGACACTTTGCAGACGTTCTCTTCGTTCATCATGCCCCTACGCATCAACCAGCATGATTGGACGATGACTTTTTTGGTGATGAACGGAGAGGAACCTCGCGCTCATTTTTACGATCCCGCGGCATCAATCACTAACGCTGAGGAGGCGAAAAGAGTGGTGGCTGCGTTCCTCCTACAATTCT